TGCAAGACATCATAATGAGGCTTTGTGGCTAGTTACAAAATGCAGAGGGGGTAGTTGTGATTCCAAGTGAGAGAAGAGGCTGGATGCTGGTGGAGAAACCAGAGCCCCAGAAGGAAATTTTATGTTATTGCCTGTGGATGGTATTTAAAGCCATTGGATTAGATGACATGTCCTAAAGGAGTGAAAGGGGTTTATAGGGCAGGGCTGGAGATACAATTAGAACTCAAAAGAGAAGGATGAACCAGCAAAATATTAAAAAGTGGTGACTGAGGAGGTGGAAGGACAAAGAGAATGGAATGTGGTCATGGAAACCAGGGGATAGATGGGTTTCAAGAAGCAGGAAGTGGCCACTGTGTTAATTCTGCTGAAAGGTCGAGTAAAAAGAAGAGAGATATGTCCCCTGGATAGTATGGCCACAGAGCAGTTGTTAGGGGCTTTGGCAAGTGTTATCTGTGGGAGGCCATGAGAAGAGCAAAAGCCCACCTGGAGTGAATCCCAGACAGAACATCAAGTAAGAAAGTCAAGGCCACAACTGAAGCAAGTATGTCAAGATGTTTAGAATACACTTACTACATGCATGAAGAGAACAGTTTTTCAATTAAGATGCCCATCCAATCAACACAAACCTGATCAAATACATCTTAATAGAGAAATCATTGAAAGAAACCAAATAAAATTATTGAAACTCATCTAAAGTTTTGTCCTGTTTTGGGAGGTGTCCTTTATGTCACCTGTCTGTATGGAAACACTTTGGGACCCCAACCCCATATAAAATGCCCCTTACTCTCCAAGACTTAGGATCTGATGTTCCATAGACAAGCAACTGAGTCTTTCCTTTCTTTCCCACAGAATAACAGACTAAGAAAGCACGCCTTTGAATTGAAGATGAACGACCTGACCTACTTCGTGCTGGCAGCGGAGACCGAGGCAGATATGGATGAGTGGATCCACACCCTCAGCCGCATCCTGCAGATCAGTCCTGAGGGGGCCCTGCAGGGGAGGAGGAGCGCCGAGCTCACTGAGCTGGGGCTGGGTGAGGCACAGCGTCCGCCACCTTGCCTTTGTCAAGTGCCAGCTCTGCATTTGCGTTCACTTAAGCTCTTGGTAGCTTTCAGGTCTAGCTCACGCTTCCCTGAACGGTTTGCTCTAGGAGAGCACCCGTCCTTCTTTACTCTTGCTGAATAGGACGGTCCCCACACACAGGTATGTGCTTTGATTGGACAGGCAATGCTTTGGAATCACTGCGTAATGCCAATGGCTAATATGCTCAGCTGCTGACTGAAAGGTTGGCGGTTTGAGTCCACCCAAAGTCTCCTCAGAAGAAAGGCCTGGCAATCTGCTTCCAAAAAAGCAGCTCTTGAAAGTCCTATGGAGCAAGCCTTACTCTGCATGCATGGGGTCATGATGACTAGGAATGGACCCGACAACCATGGTGGCAGTGCTTTGAGGCTGTCAACCAGCCAGCAATGCTAGGGATCATTTGTGAGCAGCATCAGAAATGTCCCCCAATCTAATGGGATGTTACCTTATCAGGGGCATGTTGGTTTTACAGCTTTTCATTAAATTTAATTAATGCAACTTAAACTCTGAAGTCACACCCGCATCACTTCTGTTAAGAGGCATCTTTCATGTTTGTGTTTTCAGTTTCTGTGTGAAAATTGCAAAGCTTATGTGTGTTATTAGCCATTTTTGCA